ATCTGACAAATAACCTATGTCTGCATAACCATTTAGTTCTGGTTTGAGAACATTTAAATATAATAACCCCATATCCATTGTACCTCTAAGATAACGAAGGGTTTGTTTAACTTCATTCCAATGTCTTCGTGTAGGTGAAGAACTATATCTTGCTAACAAATTAACAACAAATGCTATATCAGGTCGTGTATAATTAGCAAGGTACATTAGTGCTCATATAGCACTAAGATATAGTACTTCGGGACCAAGTATTTCTTCACCATTTTCTTGGGGTCTAAATGGATCTTTGTTAACATTTAAAGATCTTACAACCATGGGAGTGCACAATGGATGTGATTTGTCCATATAAAACCTTTTAAGCACCCTTGTTATATAAGCTTCTTGATGCACAAGAATTCCATTTTCTAAGTATTCAACTTGCAGTCCTAAACAAAACTTTGTCCTTCCTAGATCCTTCATTTCAAATTCTTTCTTTAAGCAATCTATTGCTTTTGAAAGCTCTTCAAGAGTTCTAATAATGTTTATGTCATCTACATAAACTACAATTAAGGTAAATCCGTTTTCAGATTTGTGGAAGAAAATATGCACAAATGTTTTGATGATGCCAAAGTGATTATAAAGCATTGAAGAAGAATCAAGGTTGAGCTAAAGCAAGTTGATGCAAGAACAAGATCTCAATTGGTACATAGATAAGTCTTGTCAACTTAGCTAAGTATGTAAAAGAATCTTTTGAAACTGCAAGTATGCTTGACCTTGAGAATAAGTTTTCAAAAATCTCAAATTAATCTCTTTAAATTTAAACAAGAAAAGCTTCAAAGAAATGAAAGGGAAGAAAGCTTATATCACTTGGGAAGAAAACTTGGTGAAGATTCTTTAGGATGCAGCTACTGGTGAGGCTATCTGGGAGGTGGAGAGTCAGTTCAACGAAGAGTATCCAGTTCTCTTTTCAGGTAAGCCTATTTTCAAGGATGAAAATTCCTATTTGTTGGGGAGTATTGTAACGTAAAAAAAAATGTGGTTGATTTAGTAGCCAGAACGGGCTGTTCCCAATTTGGAACGGGCCGTTCCAAGCTATTGAATTAGCCTGTGAAACGTAGTTGAGAACGGGCTGTTCTGGTTGGAGAACGAGCCGTTCTGGTTGGAGAATGAGCCGTTCTAGATGGAGTACGGGCCGTTCTGGAGGGGAG